CCAGCGCCATCGGCGGGCGCTGGTGCCGCAGCCCCGGCCGCCCCTCCCGGCGCCGCAGCTCCCGCTCAGGGCAGCGCCATGGGCTGCCCACCCCGCCTTGGCCCGGGCCCCTCCGCACAGCCCCTCTCCGCCCCTGGGCACCAAGGGAAGCAGCAGCCTTCCAGCCTGTCCGCGGCTCAAGGCAGGCTGCGAGGCGCGAGTTGTGCGGCTCCGAGTGTGCCTACGTCCACGTAGCACGCWGGAAAACCACACGGAGTGATCAGGAGAGCCCCAAGGGAAGCAAATACTTGGAAACAATGGCTGAAGGGAAAAGTTGCCACGAGAAGAACATAGTTGTATGGATTCTGGGCTCTTGTCCTGCAGCAAAGTCCAAAATTTGAAGATTATTCATTCCAAAATCTAACAATTTTAATTTCACATGGATCTGGTAGTTTARTTTTGTATTTTAGAAGAGTCAAAGTGACATTTTATTTGATCTGGTAGCTACCAGTTATTCTATGTAATAAATATTCAATAGTTTAAATCCTTATCTCTTATGTATATATTTTATTCAAAGCAATAGGTGAAATGCATACACTCTCCATGAAGTCCTGCTTGACTTCTCTTCGGCGTTACTGCAAGCCAAAGCAAGTTATGTCAGTCTGTGTATAAATCCATCACATAGCTTTAAATTAGCCCTAGTCATCGTTTTGGAATAAGAATATCTTGGTATTGGTACATTGTCCTGATGCTTCATTTTTCTAATACAAAGCAGGGAAGAAATGGCTGTGTCTTTCTTCTGTTGTTTTGAAACATTGCCAGGATCAGCATCTCACCCAGCATCTGCCTCAAGCAGCCTTGGAAATGCTTGCAAACACTGTTTTGAATAAAATTTTAATACAAATAGTTTCGCTGTAAGATCAACACGTGGTTCTTCATCTTAGGATACTTAAGTCTCAGCTAGAGCAAAGAGCTGCAAAACTATTTTGCAGCATAGTTTTGGGTTCGATTAAAATTGCAAGGCCTAACTACCCTCTTTCAATAACTAGGGCTGTAAGAGACAAGTAAGCAAATTTTTCTTACACAAAACGAATGTAAATACAAGGTTGCTCTGCAATCTGAGCACTCCGGGCAAAGCACCTCGTGTGTACAGTGCAGGGCGTTTGGCAGCAGGTAGGAGAGAGAGTTCAAAGAGAAAGGCAGAGCTCCAAAACACTCTAATAGCAAAGCCTGAAGCAGCTCTGTGCACCAGGAGAGCTACAGGCCTTTTTGTGGGGTGTTGGCTGGATCAAGAAGAAACTTTTTTTTTTTTTTCCTTAAAAAAAAAAAAAAAAAAAAAAAACCTCTCCTGTACTTGAGAAACAGTAATTAAATTTGTTTCCAAGATTTTTGATTATAGTTGCACAAAAGAAGACCTATTTCCTTACAATTTTCCTTCCTAACCAGGTTAATGTGTAAGCGTTATTTTAGCTCAGCATGCTGGTCAGAAAAGGCGACATCCTGATCAGGGCTGACTGGTTTCTAGTGAGGAAAGAGTGTAAATTGTAGTCCAGGTGAACTGATACAAAGGGAATACCAGAGTTGTTTACAGAAACAATGATTTGAGTGATCAGAAAAAAAAATCCAATAGAGACTTCTGGGATTTAAGCAAGAAATCTGGGTGAAGTAATGTGGGATTTCATCATAGGTATCTGCAGGAAAAGTATCTTATAGGTACATTTTGTGGCTGTTGCCTTGAAAGATGTGGCCAAGGTGAAACATGAAGAGTAAGAAACTGGTCTGCACTGAATAAGAAGAGCTACATTTGACACTTAAGCCCATTAAAAAAAAAAAAAAAAATGGAGTTAGCTACTCAAAAGCTTCTTCCAAAAAAAAAAAAAAAAAAAAAAAGGCGAATCGGAGTTGCAATCCTTCAACTAATGAGGACGGACAAAGAGGAAAAGGTTTCCAAGCAAAAAAAAGAAAGTTGAGGGCACTTCTGCAAACCCAGCTCTTAAAGCTGCCACTGAATTACAGTTTATTTCATCATTAACTCTGCAATCAGAAGCATGTATGTGAAAAATGAATCCATTTCAGTGGTCTGGTTACGGTTAAACATCTTCTGAACTGAAGAATGTTCTTGCAACTGTTCCTGTCCTCATTTAACTATTTCAAAATCCCTTTCCTATGGGACACAGATGCTTGTGCTTATGGTTTGGGGACAATGTTGCCAGAAAGAAAAACCAGACATTCCTCATGGGTGTGTGGAAAGAGCGTCTAAGGGAGCACTGAGCAGAGAAASAAAGACTCAGGTTCGGGTGCGAGTGATAGCACATGGCCACTGCGACATTATCCTGTAAGAAAGATCCTGTAAGTGTGTAAATAGGTCAGCTTAGATCAACTGTCTTTTCTTAGATGTTTCATATTCATTTGGCCTGTGAGGCCCGTCATCATTCTGGGCTTCAGTAGAATGAYAGATGTAGCCAGAAGGGGTCTGCATTTGCAATCCGGGTCAATGCATGTTCATGCTGTTGGATTCACTTGCTGGTGTTTGTTCAAGAAGAGTGTACAAAACCCAAACAAAGACAAAAAAACACAGAAGCTTTGAACTGCATCCTGCGTGGGGTGTGCCTTGCATGCTCTATGGCATTAGAAAAAAACTCAAGTGGAGAAGTGGAGTTTAAACTCAAAAGAAAGAAGCCTAACATAAGCATTAGTACAACGCCCTGTGAGGTGCTTTGATCAGCTTTTGATCAGTGTTCCAGGGGAAAGAAAACTGGAGTTGTGATTTTTTTTTTTTTTTCCCCCAGAGACTTAATTTCTCTATGGGAAGAAGGGGAGGAAAGGACCAGGATTTTGCACATTGCTGAAAATACAAAACTGTGGTTAAGATATCATATTGTGTCATCTGTTTGTTTCCCAAGTGAAATAACCTATGAGGTCCCATGCTTTGGTTCATATTTTGCCTGCTATGGGTAAAAAAGAGTCAATATTCCCTATTGAAGTCCAGTCCTGAAAACACCTCTCCTCCACTGAGGTGATCCGCAGCTCTTATCAGAAATCCTGGAAAGGAAGACATTGCCATTGCCTGCTAATCAGCAGCAGCTTTTAGTTCCAAAATTCAACCTCTTCTATACCATATATGAACCACACCATGGTTCAGCTTACTTTCTAGCACATTAGAAACATTGCTATTCCTTATGCAACAGTAACAAAATACAGCTCTAATAACCATGTAAACATACTTTGTATAGAAGATAATGTAGTCAAATTCTTCTACAGAAACTGTTTCGATGCCTTTTCTTAATTTGTGTTTCTACCTTTTTTTTTTTTTTTCCTGCAATGTTTTGGGTTTGTACTTTCTCTTCAGATTATTCTTTGGAGCCCTTTTGCTAAAAAAGGTTTCTACTCAAAAGCTGAAATTATATTTACTACCATTTTTTAAAATTACACTGTTTTCATTAAAAACTGAATATATCCTAGATTATGAGATCATTTTAAATTTCCTTTCTTACTCCCATTGCATTAACAAATTCAGAAGAGACCTTCATAAAACTCCAGAGAAATACAGGGAATAGAAGGAATAAAACTCACCGGTTCTAGGCAAGGCCGACACCTGCAGATGTGTCACTGGTGCCATCAGCTCTGTAAGATACTTTCACTCAGGTAAGAGATAGAGGACCTCCTCAAAGTGCAGCACTGTATGCAGAAGAGTAGATGTATTTAATAAGCCATGTCCTCTCATCCCCTACAGCCCACCCAGGATGTTTTTCCCCAGAAATGCTATGAATTAATATGCTGACCACACATTCTGGCCACAGGACCACAGATGAAATGAAGGTCGATGGAACGTCAGTGAAACCTGCACTGAGCAGAGCCCGCCTGGCAGCACCGCGAGCTCGGCAGTGCTCCTCACACAGCACCTCCAAAGCACGTTGCAGAAAGATCGGGAGGAATCTCTCCAGGCCCGAGTATCCGGAATATCTTAAGCTTGTAAGGAGAGATCTCAGCAGTTAATTTCAAAACTGCATTAAAAACATACAGACAGAAAGGTCTTTGCTGCCAAGGCGGCTGAACTGAAAATCCTTTGACCCTTCTCACGTTACAAGCCCCAGTCCTGAAGTGTCCAAACACTCAAAGCCATTTGCCACGTGGGCAGATTCATGGAAGAACAGAGGGGAGGAAAGCAAGGATGACACTGGGAGTCCCTGAAGCCATGGTGTGAGCATGTACCGTGTGTCTCAGCAGAGCACAGCACGGCACAGCAAGCAGATGTTGGCGTGACAAGGAGGCAGGGGCTCAGCAACAGACAACCCACTGAAAGCTGCTGGACCTGGAAAGTCTCTTACTGCATTTTTCAGCCTGACAACTAGAGCACTGCTGACTTACTTGTACAGAACTCAGGATTTTAGGGAACAGAGTTTCTTGTTGTTGATCTTACTGGTTTCCAGTGCAAGACAGTGTATACTACCCCACTGTCTGCATGTTTCTGTCTGCTGCCCAGTCTGCAGAAGCTTTTGAACACTGGCCAGTGGGTTCAGCCCAGACTGAGAGTTTCCCACAGTAACTGTGCTCCTACAGTTTGTTAAAAACAAGCAATTGCAGACTGTAAGATCAACCAAGGAAAAGGCTGCAGTTAAGATATTATCCCTTGTAAGTCACTAGAGAATCTGCACAAGATTGAACCTTTATGAATCAGTCACAGGAAAAGCCTCATTTTGAACTTGCATCTTTTTAGGAGCCAAAATCGGTCAACCAAGAGCCACAAATTGCAAGGATAACTAGATTCTTTAATTCTCAGAGCAGTACTTTTTACTCAGATGTGTTAGTGTCTGTCCTACCAAGCAGTTTTTACACAAAGACCCAAGTGCAAATAAATACAATAGAAGAGCAGTCCATACTCTTACCAAAATCAGGAAAGCTCTGAAAAAGCAAATGAAATAAATCCTGTCCATGCTCAACTATGTACAGTCTTTTCATATTGATTATCATACATTTATGTTGTTTCATAATATTGTGTAAAACTGTTAACTGTATCACATTTCTATATATGCACACGTGTATATATATGTGTACATACAAACACTCTCACAAATGTATTAAGTTACAAGATAAGCTTAAATCCTTTGAAATTTGGTCTCTCTCATGTAGCTTAATACTCAGATTCCCTATTTTTTTTAATAAAAAAAAAACTTGAGTTATATATAGATAGAGAGACAAACATACAAAGAGTGGAGTTAGCCAACACAGTTTGAAAGCAAAACAGAACATAAATGGGGTAAGCTAGCCATAAAAAAAAAATGAAAAATTTAGCCTAAAGAAATAATTTGTGTCAACACAAGATGATTTCTTTTTCAGAAAAAAAAGAACTTTAACTTGAAGGGGAATGACTGTTTTTCTCACCCATTTTTAACTTCTTTAAAATCCAATAATACATTGCCCAGAAAAAACAAGCGCAAATTCGCAAATCAAAGCACACAAGTYACCTGTCAGGAAGAGTCACCAAGCTTTGCTGTGTTCCTATAAAGTATGAAGGCTGAAAACCTGAGTTGCAGCAGAATAATTCCCTCCTTCATGCCTGGTGGATTGGAAGCATTAACTTTTTCTACTTTGGAAGAAGACGTGATGACCACCTGCTCAAAATAGGATTTAATTCAAATATGTCCATTACATCTTTGCATTCAAGTTCCCCTTTAAAACTATTCTAAGAACATTGTTAGGCACTGGCAGATTATCACCGTTTCAACAGCTACTGCTAAGRGTAGGTAGGTGGATCTCAACAAAATCTTGATGCTCTTACACTCATTGAAGACCTACACGAGGACACGCTGGGAATGTCACAAAGCATCCATCCCTTTTCCTAGTAGACTGAACTTTCAAATTCACAAGAGTTGAAACCACGCTTGTTGATTTTCTTGACTTCACAGCCAGCACTATTTCAGAGTTTCATTTCTAGGTTTTCTGACTGCAAAGTGCTAATTTATCATGCTTTCTTCTTTAATTTTTGAAATGGGAGCATGAGTGGCTATTCACAGGGAGTTTTTAGTTTAGGGCACACCTTTGAGAGGTAACAACTAAATAGAAACATCCTCAACTGGATGCACTGCTGAACTAAATGGTGAGAAATATTTTTCTTTAATATCATTAATGTTGTTTTTTAAATACAGAAGTCACATTCTTACAATGAAAGTCAGTGGTAATGTACCCGACTAAGTGATAAAAGACATGTTCACTCTGCCTTTTCCTAATTTAAAATGCAGTACCACTAATGGCCATAGAACAAGTTAATGCCTTCAAAAGATTCTCCTCAAGCATTTAGCACCTCCTTATAGCACTACCCTTGTTATTTTTTGCTAGTACCTTCTCCAGAAAAGTATCTCAGGAAATAAAAGTACACTGAAATCACAGGAAAAACACCATCCCGCCTAATAGGGCTTTTACAAGGGTCATGAGTGGTTCTAACAAGCACTTTACATACTCACTTGATGGCTCTGCTGCAGAGCCAGCACTTGGGAGGGGTTTATCATCCCCCAGATACAATCTAGGGAGTTCAGTGACGAGTGGCCAACACTCCACCCCTGCAGAAGGCAGGTCTCAAAGGTAACAGCACCGAGTTGAAACTGGGTGCGTTGTCCAATATGGCCATACTGAATCACAGGAAAGCACAGAGCACTTGGCTTTCCTTTATAGAATTTCTCCACACAGTAGTTTAAGTCTGTAATAACAGAGCACAGCCTGAAAAGTCAGGCTTGCACATGGTCATGACAACTGCAGTTTAGGTTACAGAGAAGCTGATTATAGCAACTTGTTTTAAGCACAAAAATAAAACCACAGAGTTGCTCACATGAATGTCTTATGGGATGAATACAGCAAAACATCACAAGACACAACAGGAAGGACAGCAGAATCAACAAAATAGCTGCCTGGAGGCACATTCTAGCTTGGAAATATTTATTATACCTATAGCTCTAGGTATGCATTCTCATACCAAACACCAGAGAGCTGGAGATCATAGCCTTGTGGTAAGCGTGCAGGCACAGTAAATTATGCTGTGTTATAATCACATTTTTCCAAAGGCTGCTATTCTAATGAGGCTTCAGAAGAATCTCCAGACATACCAACAAAAAGCAAGTCCTTATATGCTGCTAATTTGTCCCATTTCCAGGATGCAAAACAAGCTGCTATGGAGGGCTTGGGATAACTATGGATAGGCACTGGAGGATTTTGGCTGTGAACCTTTCCACCGAGTCATTTCCCCAGTGTTTGGGCTGACATTCCAAACCACTGAGTGGATTTGAGCAGCTGCCCATTTCTTAATATCAAAAATAGCCATGAAAATATTTCTTCCTCCCAAATCTATATGTTTCTTCCCCAAATTACTTGTATAAGAGATGTATACTAGTCAAAATTCAGATGTGCAGTAATAAAAGCTCAGTAACTTTTCTACCTTTTCTTTAATTCTCTGAAAAATAAGATTTTTTCCTGAGTTTCCAATGTTTTTCTGACCTCAACAGCTCCGCAGAACAACCTAAAGTTAGAATTTTAGACGAAGAAAATGTATGCAGTGCAATTTCTCTACCATTTTACTGTCATGGTTTGATTTTTTGCCTCTTTTCAAGATTTTTGCACATTAGCATCTAACTATCATGTTTTTTGGGAAAGATACAAGAATCAGTTCCATAAACAGCAAAACTCTTAAAAATGATTCCCAAAAAAAAAAAAAAAAAATCTTTGAAGTATGTATGACATATAAAAGAAAGCATGTGATGTGTGAAAGAAGTTGCATTGAAATAAATGGCACTATGCCATACTCTGTTAACAAACTAAGTCATTTCTACTTAGTATTCAACTCACATTAGAGCTTGCAGATGTTCCTCAGATTTGGCCTCTCCGAGTCACAGCACTCCTCTGCGTGGCACAAAGACTCCACTGAGAACCTGCAGACAGAGACAGAAATTTGGGCTGGTTATGCTTGGTTGAGATAGTTTCTTTCACACCCCATCTCAGGTGATGCGAATGATCTGGGCTCTGCTAACACTGGAACCATCTGTTTGGTGTTAGGAGGAAATCTCACTCTTACTTTTCTTGGTATAGAGGAACTAAGACAAGTACAACAGGATAGGAGTGCAAGAATGGGAAGAATTTTTCATAAACCAGTTTAGTTGCTATTTTAGTAGGAAATGAAAGCTTCATCAGATGTCACTTACAGGGAGATACGTAACAACCATTATAATCAGTCTTGTAGATTAGAATGGGAATGGGTAATTCCCACTATTTCTAGATGGTAACAATATTAACTGTTAAGAAAATCTTTAATCACTAAAAGAGAAGTGCTATGACTTCTCATAGCACTTATTTCTAGCTCTGATGCTGCTACCTGAGAAAAACTGTTTGGAAGGAACGCCTGCAAAGGAAAGTGCTTAGGCACAAACTTCATTTAAAGTGATTGGATAGATCCAGCCTGTGTTTGCAGAGTTTATGGAGCCCTGTCTAAAGAACAGGTTCTCTGTACAGAGAGTGAGCCTGAAAATTGACCCTATGCTTTACCCAGCAGGTGCAGACATGCAAGTGCTCTCATTCCACTCCAAAAGACAAATAGCAATGAAAACTTTCATTCTACATAACATACTTAGATTTCCTGTTTAAATTTACTGTGCACCTCATACCTTTTTTTTTTTTTTTTTTAAATCTTCAGCAAAATCTGTATTGAATCCTACTTTGGAAGCTCCTTTCTGCTATGCAGTCATTTCAAAGGCCTGTCTACACCACAATCATAACATCTGTTTAATCTGTTTGGTTTAGTGTATCTGCAACTCAGTTCTGCTCAGATCTTCTAAGAACATCCTCAAAAAGGAGAATAAAACATAGTAAAGCATACTTTCCAAGCACACTGCAAAAAATAGATGTACTATTATGGATAATATATCTACTGTTTTATAGGTTTATTACAGAAATATTTAGAAACCATTTCAAGTACTCTTAGAATATTTTCTTCTCCTCAGTAATGCCATGCATGCTTTTCTTCTCTGTATATCAAATCAAAATACTGTGGATGAAAAATGATCTTTCCGTCTCTCAGCTATTTCTGTCATAAATGTTGCAAATTTCCATGCTTCTAACACAGGGCAGATCACGCTGATATGTAGTTAACTCTCTCTCATCTGATTAGTACCAAGATAGTCTCAACCTAGGCACATTAGAAATAAGATTACCTAGAGAGATATAAAAAACCTTGGCATCCTACTGTTTGATCTCCCGAGTTCAGTCACACCAAAAGCTGCAACCAGATTTTGGGAGTGCTTTGCAATAGAGAGCAGTCAGTGTTTTCCATTTATTACTTTGTCCTTGTTCTCCACCCTGCAGGTGTGTTTCAGATATTCTTGCACCCACACAGAAGATAAATGAAGTATAGTCTTCCTCAGCACTTGGTACTTACCTCTGCTCTGTTCTGGACTGAGAGGTCCCAGAATGAGCTCAGTTCCAGTTCTGGTTTGGTATTTGTCTCCCTTTCTTTCAAATATGCCCTGTAACATTGTATATAATAGTTGACAGGTTTTGAACATTGCTATGAAATGTACTCTTCAGATTCATGAAAATACTTGAGTGGTTGCTTTGAGATTGCTAAAATGTTTCCAGGGATAAGGAAGAGTCAGATAGTAGTGACTTGAATAATTATTATCCAAAAGAATTTCCTGGACCGTGAGTTGAGAGGTGTTGTTATGCTTGGAGATGTATCTAGCACAGCTCTTTACAGATGATGAAAAAGACACTGCTGTTACTCCTCTTCTCTGTAATATTTATAATTGTCACCAGTGGCATGACAGTGTGGATTACAACCAGGGCACTTGCACAGACAGTATCTGGGGTGGTCTCTGCAGAGACATGTCCATCGTCATGCCTGCCTTCCTCATGTTCATCGTCATGCCTGCCTTCCTCGTGTCCATCCTCATGCCTGCCTTCCTCATGCACTCTCTTCAGGCACCTGTTCCTGGCAGTTATCCGCAACGGGACCCCAGGCATCTGCCTTTGGCTATTGTTGGAGTGGGGATATTGGATATCTCATGGAGCTATTCTGGYGGGCTGCCATTCCTCAGGATTTCCAAAGGGTGTTCTCCATGTRTGAGATGTACACTGCGCTAGCAAAACAAGCCAGGGTCAGAGCAAATGGGCTGAGGTAAAACTCAGCCCCATGTGGAGTYTGAGTGAACACAGGAGAGTTGAAGCTTTTGAGATGTAGAACCAGCGGTCATGGAGGGGCAGGCAGGGAGCAGGCCCAGGACAAAGGAGCTGGAGGGCTTCTAGGTGCATGGCCTTAGTCTCCATGAGTCCTGAGGGATACGATCCAATGGGAATGAAACTTCAGCCTCTGCAGACAGAAATTAAGATGAGACAAAAGGAGAGAATTCACACAAAAGCCAGTACATTCAAGGGACATGGATTTATTATTTCATATATAGTACTGGTGCAAATAGCAAAAAAAAAAAAAGGTCTATGATCTGAGGTAGAAGTCAGAAAAAAATTGGATTTTGATGTTCATATTGCCATTGGCTCATATTTTGTGTTGTTCATCCTGCCATTGGCTCATACCTTGTGTCATAACCCACCCTGGTGACCTCAGTGAAATGCTGGGCAGGGAAGGCAGTGCTCTGTGCACATCAGTGTGACCCTCGCCTGTGAGGCGAGCCTGCTGCTTCAGGRCATGCAGAACTTCCAACAGCAAAATTGTTTGGTTTCTGATGCAAACAGAAGTAGAACAAATATTGATAGAGGAACTTTATTTTGAGTCGYATTCCACTGAAGTGGATGGCCACAGCTCTCTACATATAGTGGGTGGATGTGGTGAGGGGTGTTGCCAAGTTGAGGGTGCAGAAGCACCAGGTGGGGGCTGCACCCCCCCCGTAGAAGAAGGTAGGCACCTTCTTCTACAATGAAATAAACAACATATTGTGTAAAATGTCATTTTGAAAATGCTGTTAATTGAAATGGATTTAGGAAGAACAGAGTAGTATTAGTAATATAAAAAATAAATGGACAARAATTCCTGGACAATTTTTAAAACAAAAAGAATGGTGGCTTTTTTGCATTGTTCATTGCATTACTTCTAAAAATTAGAAATAATTAAAAACAATACTAGATGAGGAAATACAGTTAATTAGTAATAATAAAAGATCCCTTTTATTCAMGGGATCAGCAATCGTTGCTGTTAGCTGTTTCATATGCTTGGATCTAATTTTCTTATATGCTTGGATATGCTTGGATCCGTGTTTTCTTACTTCCGTATTTTTGTTGCACAACAGCATTTAATCTGCTATGCTCCAAATAACCCAAATTCTCTTTACAGAAACCCTTTACACAGGTTTTTCTTCCCTGAAGGTTGAACAGGTAGCCTCCAAGCTTAGCTGAAGTAAGGAAAACCCATTTTGGAAAGAAAGCAAATATTCCTAGATGTTTGCACAAGTGCAAGCTAGTTCCTCAGGTTTTTCAATCTGTATTTGCTGAAATACAGAAACATGACATCTGTGAATCTCCATTTTGTGAGGCAACTTCTGTTAAAGAAAAAAGTCCTTGCCAGCAGATGTACTTAGCATGACTCACATCTGCCTTTTTGGAGGACTAGCTCAGTTAGGCAACCACTTCATGCTGTTCCACCACAGAGTGCTTGCCTTGGAGCAAGGAGAGGAGCAGGACCTGCCACCGCAACGTGGCCCTTAGGTAGAGCTTGGGAGCCACCTGGGAACTCATTGCTGAACCTTTCCTGCGAGGCTGTACATGGATGTGTTATTGGGTTAACTCCATTTCACAGAATCACAGAAGGGTTAAGGTTGGAAGAGACCTCTAGAGATCATCTAGTCCAACCGCCTGCTCCAGCTACAGCACAGGGCACAGGGTGGCATCCAGGCGGGTTTTGAAGGCCTCCAGAGAAGGAGATTTATCTGCTATTTCCCCTCTTTTCTGCCTCACCAAGTTTGAAATTATTTTTGTGCCATTTAGGATGGCTGTTACAAAGAGAATGTGACCATTTCAGCCAGAATATCTTCCTATGTTTTCTCTAGGGCTGGAGTAGATAGCAACCACTTCGTTCAAAATATCCTCTCATTAATGGAAGTATTGCCTTTGAACTGTACACGGAGTTTTGTATCAGCAGCCGTATCCATATCTAAATAGCAGAAAAGTCCCCAGTTTCTGTAAAAGATATTACTAAGTAATCTGCTCATTCCTTTTCTAACAAATTCTATTAGTTCACTTCAAAATACCTTCATCCTCTTGGACTACTGCAATGTCACTCTATTCTGAGGGCCAATATGAACTGATATGTTTTTTGGGAGGCTGTGATTTTCAACTGGCAGGAAGTGAATGAAATAAAAAGWAAGATGTGGTTTGTGCCAGTACTTGGGGTATCAGTTCTGCCAATTGACTGTCATCCTCTACTAGCAGATGTGCTATAAAAGGAGATGAAGTTCATTGTTAGCAAGTTGCTTGATGGCCAAAGCCAATTATGGAACAGAGAATTGAGCCTTTCTAACAAAAGAATTTGCATATGGAAATTACATCTATTTCCATAAGTATTTTCAAACTGTTTAAGAGAAGGCTTGACTAGAYTCATTTTAAGTTGGTGTGTATTAGCATAACTCCTTATTTCATACACAGGATAGAATTTCATCAATACTATATTTCAGTCTGATATATTATTTTTCACTCATCCTATTATTTACTCTTCATTTATGTTTTTCARTACAGAACTCATTCCTATTCATCATATTAAAACCATACAGTGATCACCAGGAAGAGAAAAGCTAAAACTGCTTTAATTATACAAAAAAAGCACCAGTCCCTCTTCAGAGAAGTACCCAATGTTTGTTTTGTAAAAGTCAGAGGCCTAGAAAACATGAGCTAAAAAAAATTGACTGAAATGAATTGCTATG